CCTGGAAAGGTGGGTGAGGAGGGGTGTCGAGCTGGGGAGCGACGGGGAAGAGTCGGCCAGGGAAGGCCCCCGAGGGTGGAGGGCCCCCGCGGGGGGACGAGGTCGGGACCCCGAGAATCGGGCCTGAGTCTCCTGCGCCCCGGGCGGCACCCGAGACCTTCCCGGAGAGTCCCCCACGCTCTCATCTGCGGGGCTCGGCGCCCACCGGGGCTCCTCCCCCGCAGCGTGTTGTCCCCATGTTTATTTCCTCCTTTCTCCGCCTCCCCTCTGGGCACGTCCTCCCTCCGTGGCCTTGGCGGGGGGATGGGGGGGATCCCGAACTGAAGCTGTGGGGTTCCGGGAGGGAGAGGAACAGCGGTTTGGCTGCATTCCAGCGCCCGGGACCTGGGGTGGGTCGCGCAGCCCCGGAGAGCAGGTGCCTACGTGGGGAGAGGCCCTGGGACACACCATTCCTCCGGGCGCTCGGAGACCCGTTAATCCCCAGCAGGCTGGGGCTCGCTGGGGTTTCCTGGCACTGAGCTGGGTGCGGCCTCTACAGGTTGAGAAACCGGGATCTGGTTTGTGCTGCCCCTGTTGCAAAATGCTGCAGGCTCCGGAATTTCTGTGCGCTTAGGTGGGGCTTGGGGACTCTGCAGTACTAGGGGAGGGGAGAGGTATCTTGTCTTAAGGCTGCCTTTTAAATGGTATATTTGGGTTTCTTGGAAGGTGGCTGAAGCCTTTCAAGGCACCAGCTTGTGCAGCAGCCCTGGATCGCAGGTGCCAGGGAGGGTCCGTGGTTCCTAACACTTGGAGGCCTCATGTCTTACTTGCCCCCTCTCAATGCCGATTTTAAGCCTGTGCACAGAGTTTTACAGCTGTCGACAGAAGGAGGTAGAAACGGGTAAGCTAAGCCAGGTATTGTAGCTGCCCACCTTTGGGAGAGATTGATAAATCCGTCGAAAACTTTTACCCCAGAACATGGCTACATGGCTTCTGGCACAGTCTGGATCTCAAAATCAATCTCTTCACTGGGATAGGAAATCCCCACTCTCCCTGATCAGGCTCTTACTCCTGTGGAGGAGAGAAGATTCTTCACTTTCCTATAGAGACAGCCTGTAGGAAAGTGAAGTATCTTTCAGGAGGGAGATCCCCAGAGAACACTGAGGCCAAATATTTTGATTTCAGAGAGGAAGGGAGAGGGAAAGAGAGAGAGAAACAATGTTGAGAGAGAATCATTGATTGGCTGCCTCCTGCACACTCTACTGGGGATGAGCCCTCAACTCCTGGCATGTGACTGGAATTGAACCCAGGACCCTTTGGTCCCCAGGCTGACACTCTATCCACTGAGCCAAACCAGCTAGGGCAACTGAGGCCAAATTTGCACCGACTTCTGTAAGACCTGGGCCAGTCTCCCAGCCCCCACTCCTAAAGAAGGCTTTTAGAACCCGAATCTGCATTATGTTTTTTCTTTTTAAATATGTTTTTATTGGTTTTTAGGAAGAGAGGAAAGGAGAAGGATAGAGAGAAACATCACTGAGAGAGAAACAGAAACTTCATAGATCTTTTGCCTCCTACACGCCTCCTACTGGAGATCGGGCTGCAACCTGGGTATGTGCCCTGACCGGGAGTCAGACTGGTGACCTCTTAGTTCATGGATCGATGCCCAACCACTGATCCACACGAGCCGGACTTTTTTTTTTTAATTGATTTTTTTTTAAGAGAGAAAAATATCAACTTGTTGTTCCACCCATTTATGCACACACTGGTTGATTCTTGTATGTACCCTGACTGGGAACTGAACCCACAACCTTGGCTTATTGGGACAATCCTTTAACAAGGTGAGCTACTTTGTTTCTCTTGTGAGTTTCTTTCTGGAAGCCTGGTCTCTGAGCTCAGGAGACAAAAGCTCCGATCTTCTTTGGAGAGGGGTGAGAGGAGCCCCTGAGATAGGCTGCTCAGTACCTTCCAGTTGTCAGAAACGAGGTCCTCTTGCCACAGGCCGATGCAGTGCTAATTTGGAAGCTGTTTTAGGGGTGGGGAGAGGAGGCTGTGCTGAGAATTGAGGGTGCTGGAGTCAAGGAAGGGTGCGAGAGAAGAGGGAAAGATGATGCCTAGCATAATAGTACCTTGGGGTTTGAAGTGACCAAACTGAGATGCAGCTCTCTCTTGCGCATGGACTCCCAGGAGAACAGAGTAACTACTCCCAGCCGCCCCACCTGGTTACTTGGCCTGCATCTAAGTCCAGGAGCATCTCACTAAGCCCAGTTTCAGAAGAAGGATGCTGCTATAGCTCATGGTCATCTTCACCTGAGAAGTCTGGAGGTTCTTCTGGTTGTCTAACCTTCCTCCTCCATTCTATAATATAAAACCTTTTGCTCTTTTTCTATTTTGGGATTTTTAGAAGGGGAATCCAAATACCGTACATAATTCTCTCATCTCCATAGTAGGTCAGAGTTTCTTAACCTGGGAATTTGGATAGAATGTAGAGGTCTGTGCCTCTACATTCTATCTTTGGATGGGGAGAAAAGTGCATTTATATGTAGTGTCTCCTATGATTATGAATACTGCATTTGTTGTAATACCTTAAAAATCATTTATGGCCCAGCTGGCATGGCTCAGTGGTTGAGTGTCGACCTTTGAACCAGGAGGTCGAGGTTGGGTTTCAGGTCAGGGCACATACCTGGATTTCTGGGCTGGATCCCCAGTGTGGGGCATGCAGGAGACAGCCGATCAGTGATCCTCTCATCATTGATGTTTCTTTCTTTTTCTTTTTTTCATCATTGATGTTTCTATCTCTCCCTTTCTCTCTGATATCAATAAAAATATTTTTTTTAAATCATGTTCATCACTACTTTGAAATTAAACCAATTATTAGATCTACCATAGACCTTATTTAATGTATTACACTATCACACATATTACTGTGTATTACATGTCCCACTACACCACATACTTGGTTGCTTTAATATTTTTATAACGTTTAATATGATTTGTTTCTTATGAATTTTATTTTATGCATTTATGAACATTCCAGCATTGCTGGACTCCTAAGGATGTTTGTGGCTCAAAAAAAGGCTAAATCCCTCTTGTAGAGTATGGTTTTCTGGACTAATAGGAAGAAGGAAGTGGGAGAGGGAAGGATAGAGGGAAGGGAGTTTTCCTGAGAGGGCAGAATGTGTCTGGGGAGGGGCTAAGAGTGGGGCGGAGGTTATCTAGGCGTGTTTTGGTATTCTTCAGCTTGGTGAAGGATAGACAAAGAAAAGCAAGTTGGCTTAGAAAAAGTGAGATAAAATTAGGGAGAACTTTCAGGTCTCAAGACAGTGGGAATTAGGACAGGCAAGGAAGGGACGCCTAAGTGTTCTCTTTTGGGAATGGTGCCCAGGCTCCGTGTGACCGGGAAGCTGGGCGGAAGATGCCTTCCAGAAGAGGAGGCTGCTGGGGACGGGGTAGTCTGGCAACCCCAGCTTCCTGTTGTCGCTGCCCCTGGGAACCTGGCCATGTTGCTCCTGGCCAAGGCCCAGCTTGAGCTGTGTGTGGCCGCCTGCTCCCAAGGTCAAAGACTGAGTTAGAGGTAAAGGGTGGACATCCCCCTAGCCGTCACCCCAGACCTCCCCCTAGTCCACCCCACCACTACTGCCTCCTCCCCCAGCACATGGAGCAGTGCCCTGGAGCTGGCTGGAGGCCGCCAGGCCCCGCCCCCCACCAGGCCAGAAGAAGTGAAACAAGCTGTGATTTTTGACCTTCTTCCAATCTCATTGGATCCTGAGATGGTTCAGGTTTCAGATGGACTGCTTGTCCTTAGAGGCCTCCCATACCCCACTCCCCAGGGCAGGGAAGCCTGCAATAGCTTCTATTGAACAGCAGCCTTGTGAACAGGTATTTTCACCACAAAGAAACAGAGGCCTAAGACCTCCTCTTCCTACCACTGCTCACATGTGGGCTGATCTTCGCTCCCTGGACCTCTGGCCCCGCTACTTGCCCACTGTGCACAGCAGCAGCCCCAGGAAACTGATTTGGCCGTTTTGTGAGCAGTCTCCGATGCCAGTTCATGAACCTGCAGGCCCTCTGCACTCCTGGAGGCTTTGTTCCTTCACCTCCACTCATCCAAAACGTCTCTCCAGGTTGAGCTTCTCTCCCTTGTGTCTGTTTTGGTTGCTTCACCACTCACCCAAACCTGGACTGTAGAGCTACACCGATACGGTATTCATAGCCACAAGTGGCTACTTCAATTTAATTAATTAAATTAAAATTCATTTCCTCAGTCAGAGCAGCCACATTTCAAATGCTCAGTAGCCACCCGTGGCGAGGGGCTGCCGTTGTTCACAGTGCAGCTACAGAGCATTTCCACTTACACAGGAAGTTCTCTAGAACTTATCCCTCAACGTCAGCCACTGCAAGAGGCTTCGGCCCAATCTCCCTGACCCCAGCATCTTCCTCCTTGTGCAAACTAGTGTTTCTAAAATGCAAATATAATTTTATATTTATAAAACTAAAAATAGGGTTTTTTTTAATTTATTGATTTTTGAGAGAGAGAGGGAGGGGAGAGAGGGAAACAGCAATTTGTTCCACTTTTTTATGCATTCATTGGTTGATTCTTTTATGGGCCCTGACTGGGGATTGAACCCGCAACCTTGGCATATAGGGACGACCCTGTAATCAAATGAGCTGCCTGGCCAGGGCTTGTTGCTCCCCAGTTTATTTATTTATTCATTTATTTATTTATTTATTTATTTTTAAAATATATTTTATTGATTTTTTACAGAGAGGAAGGGAGAGGGATAGAGAGCTAGATACATTGATGGGAGAGAAACATCGATCCGCTGCCTCCTGCACACCTTCTACTGGGGTTGTGCCCACAATCGAGGTACATGCCCTTGACCGGAATCAAACCTGAGACCTTTCAGTCCGCAGGCCGACGCTCTATCCACTGAGCCAAACCGGTTAGGGCCTCCCCAGTTTAAATCTCTGCGTGGTCCCCCATCTATCTCTCTATCTCTCTCTCTCTCTCTCTCTCTCTCTCTCTCTCTCTCTCTCTCTCTCTCTCTCACATACACACACACACACACACAGCTCCTTGGCCTGATACCTGAGACACTGATCTGCCCTCCCCCATCACCAGCTCGTCCCTTGCTATGGGTCCTCATAGACACTGTTACTCAGCTACAGGAAACTATCCCTTACCCTTGACCTTAGGAGGCAAATACCCTAAGGCTTTCCTTAAAACCCCAGTTTGTGAACATGGAAATGATGGCATCCACTGACTTTTTCCCCCAAGTCATATTGCCTTTGTTTTGTGTTTTTAATAAACAATCACATTTCCTTAGAATCATGTTTCCTGTACATTTCTTTTCACTACAAGTGAACTGCCCCTCCAGCTTTTATGCAAGTTTTCTTGAACTTGAGTAGTTTTGGCATTTGTTGGCGGGTTCACAACAAGAATTTCAGGAATTGATTTTTCTCATTTTCTGTACAGTGAGCACGCGGAACATGTCCACAGCATGAATCTGGGTCCCGGCCAGATCCACATCCTGTTTAGTTGATACATAGTTCCCAGGAGCACTTTCTTTTTAGACCTTTTCCCTTTATCTTCACTCCTCCCATTGGTACCATGAGTTGGCCTTTGTGTTGAGGTCTTGCCTTCTCTATCTGCTCCCACAAGAGGAACAAAGTCACTCTGAACCCCTGCGAATATAAGACAGCCTCACCGAGATGTGTCTGCCAGGCTTGAGCAAGGCTCCCACCTTGGCTGAGTCTCCCTCCCTCCCAGCAATCTCCCCGTGTGTGAGGGGTGGGGGGCTGCATTCCCTCCCTGCCTGCACCTGCCCTGATAATAGGTGAATTGCTTGGCATTACAATCATCTCCAAAAAAAAAGTAGGTCCCTCCTCCTAGTCTTATCTCCTTCAAGACAGGACTTATCACCTTCATTTCTGTATTCCTAGCAGAGAAAATACTCTACTTCTTTGCTAAATTAATGGCTGACTGAAAGATTGAAGCTTTTGCTGCTCACTCCTGCCCATGGACCTCTCCTATTCTCTGAAAGCACATATGCTTTGATCTACTCATTGGATAGCCTCCTTTCTATGCAAACTGCCTATCTACCTAACTAGATTCCAAGACCCTTAAGGGCATGTCTCCAATTTGTATGTAACCTCAGCACCTGGCACTCAAAATGCGATTTAAGTGTCTGAGCAGGTAAAGGCCAGGGTTGCTGTTGGAGGGATTGGGGATAGACAAACCCGAGAGCTGATTGACAGCAATGTTTTGCTTTGTTCTCCAGGGGGCTGTTGTGGTTCGGACTATAAACAGTATGTGTTTGGCGGCTGGGCCTGGGCCTGGTGGTGTATCTCTGACACTCAGAGGTAAGGACCTGGGGGCTCAGGGAAACTGGCATCCTGGTGGGCAAGGGAGAGAGGGTTTTCAGCTTTCCCCTGCCTCCCCACAGATCAGCTAGAGCATCTGCCACTTGCCACATTTCATTCTGGGGGTGGGAGCCTCCAGAGAAGCAGGCAGAATAGGTTGCACAGGGATGCGGGAGGTCTGTCCGTGGGCACCTCCTCCTTAGTGGGTGTACTTTTTCCCATTGGAGGCCTCGCTTCTGGCCCAGAGAATTCAGGGTCCTGCCCAGGCAGAATCCAAATGCCCTGATTTTAGCTCAAAGTTATTTGTGAAGCTTTAATTATACACCCTGTTCAGAGTGGGTCTAGGGAGGGAGAGAAGGCTGAAGAGACCCCTAACATGCACCCTCACCTTTACGGGCCCTGAGAAATGCAGGCAAGGGCTAAATAGCAGAGAATACATGTCCAGTGTGAAGTGGCTCTCTGATAGCAGTGGGTTAGAGACAGGAGTGGAGATCTAAGGAATTAGTGCCAGGGTGGGCAAGCCAGGTCTGGACTTCCTAAATCAGTGTGGAAAGACTAGAGGAAGGGATAGTTCAGCTCCCCAGAGGGACTATCATAAGGCTATACCTTCTGGCTCCTCCAGAGCCCCTGGCAGGGCCAGATTCAACCTGGACCTTTCCTGCTACCCTCACTGCCCACCCAAGAGGAGATGAGGCATGCCAGCCACCTTTCCACCATCACCCCCTCCAGGCTATGGGAGATCAGGGGAGGGACCCAGATCCTTCCAGGCCAGGACCCAGGCCAGAGGGGCAGCAGAGCTGTGAAGGTACGGGCATGTGGGGGCCAGGGGGTGTCATCCTGAAGGGGAAGTGATGGAGATTCCAGTGGAAATCCCCTCCACCCCAGCCCCACCAGGCAGCAGATAGAAGCCCCATGGCTGCACTGAGCTGTCAGTGCCTGTGGTTCCACTGAGTCTGGAAGTGTCAGCTAGGGTCCGGGGCTTGAGAAGATGTCACAATGTTTTAACTTCACTGATTGCCCAGTAACCCCTCCCACTTTCCCATCTCTCCCCTAACTTTGCTCTGCCTGAGTGGGATCCTGGGGCAGTGGCCGGCAAACTCATTAGTCAACAGAGCCAAATATCAACAGTACAACGATTGAAATTTCTTTTGAGAGCCAAATTTTTTAAACTTAAACTATATAGGTAGGTACATTGCTATTAACTTAATTAGGGTACTCCTAAGGCTTAGGAAGAGCCACTCTCAAGGGGCCAAAGAGCCGCGTGTGGCTCGCGAGCCCCAGTTCGCCGACCATGGTCCTGGGGGACTCTTCTGGCCCAAGGCCGAAAGCGTCAGGGAGCAATCAATACTGGTCACAGCTTCCTCTCAGGAGGCTCATGGGCACTTCTGAGTGGGCCAGTTGCCCTGTCAGAAACCAGGGGTTGTCCTCTCCAGGGACACTGCCACCCCTTCCCATATGCCCTGCAGTCCTGGGACAACAGTGTGTCCTGTCCAGGCACCTCAGTGTACAGCGAGGCCCAGAGAATTGCAGCTTGCCCAGAGATGGGTCCTGCATGGGCAGCCACTGCAAGGGCAGCAGCTCTGCAGCTCTTGGTCCACATTCTTGGTCCCCCACTCCCGCTTCTTGCTCCAGGGATCAGAGCCCCGAGACGGAGCCACGCTCCTCTGACAGCAGGTGTGGCAGTGAGGGGTGGAAGACCATGTGCCTTGTCCTAGGAAACCAATCTCACACCCAGGCTCTGCATTCCCCCTCTGTCCCACTGGCTGGGCAGTCTGAGTCTGCAGCCCCTCTCCTTCGTGGGCCCTATTCTGGGGGCGCCTCTTTCCCCAACCCCTAGCCTGCTGGGGGACATCGCTACAAACCCAGGCCTTTATTTCCCTAGAGCCTGGATCCTCAGCCTCCTTTTCGAGGTACTTTCCACAGCTGTCCTACGTGTCACTCACTCTCGGTGCCAGCTGTCTTCTCCAGGCTCTGTGAAGTCCCTTCTGCTGCACTTTGCTGCCACGTCCCATATTATCGTGATATGGGCGGCTCTCTCCTTACCTGAGCGATTCCTCCACCTCTGGCATCTGAGCTGCAGCCTCCTGTCTTCCCTCCTTCCCTTCCTCCTTCCTTCCCATCCTGCTATCTCCCTCTCTCCTCCTTCCCCAGAAGAGAGCTTGGTGGTTTCCTGTCTGAGCCAGGTCAAGAGTTCTCTCCGGCCCCAGGGTGCTAGTGGTAGGAGCTTGAAAGAAGGCAGCCTTTGCACATCTGCATGGCCGGAGCCCCCAGGGGTGGCATGTGAGAGTTGAGGTGAGGGTTTCCCATCCCCCCAAACTACTTGCTTCTGCTCCTTCAGCCTCAGTCTCTGTCCTCCCTTCCTCTGGTTCAAGGCAACCTTCCACGCTGTCCACAGGCTGGCCTCTGCCTAGACCACTTCCCTATACACGTTCGCGCACACACGCTGCCCTGGGGAGGCCCAAGGAGCCCAAATAGGGGGGCCAAGCAGCGTAGAGGCGCCTGGTTCTCTTTACCGTGACTCTTCTCTGCCTGTGCCCAGCGTTGGAAGTTCCAACGTGACTTGCTCTGTCATCTCCCAGTTGTCCCTGTGAATACTCCGGCAGGTCACACCTCCTCCCCCAGCCTTCCTTGACACCTGCACCCCCAAATCAGAAAATCCAAATTTTTCTTTGGACTTTTCTGGCCCTAAATTCTTTTTTCTTTTTTTTTTAAATCCTCACCTAAGGGTATTTTTTCCATTGATTTTCAGACAGAGTGGAAGGGAGGAGGGGGTAGGGGGAGAGAGAGAGAGAGAGCACACGCCCCAACTGGGGTGGAGATCAAACCCACAACTGAGGTGCATGCCTTTGACCAGGAATTGAACCCGAGACCCTTTGGTCCGAGGGTCGGTACTCTAGCCACTGAGCAACCGGCCAGGGTCCTAAATTGCCTTCTTAGTGATATGTAGCAGAGACCTTGAGCTTGTGTGCCCCAAGCAGGATTCGGTATTTCCTGTGGCTCATTAAGGCCCAGAATGACCTCCCTCTCCCAGTTTCTGGAAACACGGGTTTGCCTGTTTGGAGTGTCCCTGGTCACGCCAGAAATCTCCTGGGGAGCAGGTGGGGAGCAGCCCAGGTGCCCTGTGCACAGGCTTCCTGACCAGATCATAGGTCCAGGGCATCAACAGCCTCTCTTCCCAGCCCAGCAGCCACTCCTGGGAAGAGTATGGGGGCTAGAGAAGAGACCCAGAGGCGTCAGGCCAGCACGTGGGTGTCTCTGTCCCCCTACAGCCCTAGGCTGAGCTGGCAGTGGGGGGCTGAAGTATGGAGAGCAACCCTGCCCCCAGGCATCAGGCATCGGTGCTTATCTGGTAACCACTGTGTGTGTTTGCTGTGTCCCCCTCCTACCCCTTTCCTGCCCCTACCTCTCCCTACCCCCGGCTGCTCCTCAGACTGTCTCTGGAGGTTATGACCATCCTGTGTCGCTGTGAGAATATTGAGACGTCGGAGGGGGTCCCGCTATTCGTAACAGGGGTTGCACAGGTAATAACCCACCTGCTTCCTCCTCTGTGTCTAACCTTCTCTCTTCCTGCCCTGTGGGGCCTGGCAGGCAGGAGCCAGGTGGACTCCCCTCCTGAGAGTGTGCCTCCCTCCTCTCTGTTCCCACCTCTGCTGGTCTGAGTACCAGGATAGATCCCTGTAGATCCCCTGTAGATCCCTCACCCACTGGGGCTGCTAGTGGGGAAAGAACAATGGATCTGGAAGCTCTGGCAGAGTCTGCCACTTGGTGTCCTTGGATGCCAAGCCTAAATTGGGAGTGAGTTGTGGCAGGAGACACAGGCCCTCATGTGATAGAGCTGGGCTCTCTGGGTTGAGTGGGTTCAGTCCTATCTACAGCTGATGAAGTCCTGGTCCTCCAGGTACCACAGAGCCCCTTGCTAGCCTCTTCTCCAGGCTGACGCCCTAGTGTCAAGCCCTAGCCCCCTCCTTGCAAGGCCAGAAGATAGGTCTCATGGGGAGTTCTACTCACCCAGCCCCTTTGACCCCTTCAATCTTCTTGACAGGCCTGAGCAAAAAGAGCCTTGGCCATTCCTTACCCCTAATGCTTTGTTGAGGGGCCTTTGAGCAGATCTCTTGTCACTGGGCTTTGTTTTCCCATCTGTGAAATGGATGGGGAATCGTGTCCTCTCTGTGCCAGGTAGGGATATTGGAAAGGCAAGTAAAACAATATGAGGGCACTTGGGGATTTTGGGGAAAAGAGTGTAGAGAAACCCGAGCTTTATGATGAATATGCTTTTACTCTGAAAAGCAAGTAACCCGGTGTCTCACTCTTCATTGCCATGTCGCCGGAGCTGATGGAATTCATTCCTAGGCCAGGGCGTTTAGTAACTCCAGGTGCTCTCCTGTCATGTGCAGGTTCCCATTACAAGAAGAGACCTAAGTGTCCTCTTACCCAGCCCCTTCCCCATGCGTTATATTGCCCTTCAGCCTTTTCAGGCAAAAGCTGTACTGCTACTCCCTTCCTCCCCCTGCTGCCATCTCTAATTGGGAAGGGGACCGCCCATCGCACTTGCCCCTTGTAGCCGTGGGAGGGCAGGCGTCAGCACAGAGGCCTGAGAAGCTCAGAGCACTTCAGACAGGGCCCTGGCCTCCCCCACCTCCTGTCTAAAGCAGCCCCACCTGCCTCCAAGTCCACTACTCTCCTTGAGATAACTGCAGATGCCTAGGTCCTTTTTAAACTGGTGATGTGGACCCGTGAGGCCTCAGATTGTCTGGGTAGGACAAGCCTTTCTAGCACTCTTTGGCCAGGAAGCTCTAGTGTGGCCCCATTCCCAACTTGACCACCTGGGCCCAACCCCAGAGGGTAAGCTTCACATCGTAGTCTGCTGGCAGGTGGAGAGACCAGGCAGGGCTTCCCTGGCAAGGGGCAGAGGCAGGATCCCGTCATCATGGCCCAGCAGTGGGCACTCCCAGCCAGCCAGATCACCGCGCAGAGCTTGTAGGCAGCCTCCCGGGGCATCCTGGGGGCTGAGCACACCCAGGGAACAGGCGAGGGCCCCTGGGGAAGGTTCAGATGGCACCCTGAGCAACCTACCCAGCACAGCCTGGAGTACCAGCACTTTCTCGCTCTCCCGGGATATACACACACAGCTGCTCCTGGACTCTCCTCACCCTTCCACCAGCCCAGACCACCACAACCACTTCTCTGCTTCCTTTTCCCACTCTTTAAGCCAGGCCGATTTCAGCAGAGGCAGTATACACAGGGAGAGCCACTCACACTCCCCCTGGAGGCCCCTGCATCACCCTGCCCTGCCTTCCCACCCATCCCCTTCACACACACTTCCAGCCACGACCCCGTGGGGATCCTCCCCAGCCTTCCTGCAGCAGGACCGCTGGCCAGTCCCAGCCGGAACAGTGAGGTGTTGGACTCTTCCCCCACACCCCAGGCCCTGGGCCCCCAGACCCATGCCCCTGTTTTGCATTTCTTGGCAGGATTACCCTAGAGATTATGACGTTGCAGCCCCGCTGCGAGGACGTAGAGACGGCCGAGGGGGTAGCTTTAACTGTGACGGGTGTCGCCCAGGTATAGTAACTCAGCAGCCCTGCGCATTACCGTTGAGCTGCCTCATCCTGTGCTGGGATTTGGGGGGAGGAGAAGACAACAGCCAGGGGCATTCTCTCCAGCACCACTACCCCTGCCCGCCCCCTCCCAAAAGAAGGTCATCGCCACTGGAACGTGCTCTCTTGGCCCCTTGGCCCCCCAGCAGAACTAACAGACACCCCTTTTCTCCTCAGCGGGCCTGCGAGGGACAGAACCGGTGCTGAGGGCTCCTGTCGCACTAACCCCGTTCTTTGCAGGTGTCGGAACTGCCAAGCCCCAGCATCCAGGCCCTTCCCTGTTCTCTGGGCAGGGGGCTGGAGGTGTGGGGACCAGAGGATGAGGTCATGTCAGGCAGGCTCTGGAGTCAGAGACTTATATTCCCTGCTTGGTGCCTGGGTGAGGGGCTTCCTGCCCTCGTCCACCTCTCAACTTCAGAGAGCAGGGAGATTCAACAGTGTTGTAGGCCTCTGGTGAGGGGGTTGTTGGCTTAGTATCTCAGGAAGGGTCTGGGTGGCACCCCTGGAACCACCCCCTGCCCCGTCTAGGCTCTCTTTCCTAGTGTGTTTGTTTCTGTCCCTATTGTTCATTGTCCTTTTTGCATTCTCTGCACCTCAGTCTTCAGGTCTCCCACCTGTGGGGAGCCTGCAAGGGAGGAACTGGCTAATGAGGAACAAGCATGTGGACTGGAAGGGTGAGGGGACAAGCCCCACATGCCCAGGAGAGAGGCCACATCAGGGCCTGGGCTGCCAGGAAGGATGAAATTTCTCAATGTGAGAATTCTTGTTTGCTCTCCCCACTAGAGGCCTCAGACAGACTCCACTCCCGCCCCCAGACCAGGTCTGAAAAAGGAGGGGAGGGACATAGCCACCATCCTCCACACTGGGTCTGGGGCCTCCGTCTGCTCCCTTCATCCTGGCTCAGGCGCCTTTGTGCCCACTGGCAGGTGAAGATCATGACGGAGAAGGAGCTTCTGGCCGTGGCCTGCGAGCAGTTCCTGGGCAAGAATGTGCAGGACATCAAGAATGTCGTCCTGCAGACCCTGGAGGGGCACCTGCGCTCCATCCTCGGTGAGACCCTGCCCAGCCCAGGGGCCCCTCTGCTGCCCTGGCGGAGCATCACAGGGCCCCAAACCAGGGCCAGGGAGGGGTGCAGGAGGGGGTGGGGGGCCTGTCAGACCACCGAGGTTTCTAGATGAAAAGCTGAAACATTTTCCTCAAGTATTTCCTTTCAGAACTTCAGGTGACTTGTGTGAAGGAGAGGGCATTAGGTGGGGGGGCGGTGAGGGGCTGCCAGTCTGATCAGGCACCCAGTGCTGCTTAGAACACTATTCTTCATCCAGCCTGCACTCTGCAGAAGGCAGCTTGGCACTAAGCACTGTTCAGAAGAAACCGGGAAGACCCAGCTCAGACCGCACAGCCCTGCATAGACTCAGACCTCTGCTTGCATGCCTCCTCCCTTTCCTAGCCGGCTCGGTCCCTGGGGAGCCAGCCCATGATCCTTCTGCCCCCAGGGACCCTGACTGTGGAGCAGATTTATCAGGACCGGGACCAGTTTGCCAAGCTGGTGCGGGAGGTGGCAGCCCCTGACGTCGGCCGCATGGGCATCGAGATCCTCAGCTTTACCATCAAGGTGCGATGGATGGGAAGACTGCAGTCCCCTACAACCATCTGGGAGTGGGGGACTTGGCAGGAGGGGACCTTTGTGCTTATAACTGTTCCTAGGGAGCCTTGGCCAGGTGGCCTCATCATTAGAGCGTCGTCCCAATACGCCAAGGTCACGGGCTTGATCTCCTCTCAGGGCACATACAAGAAGCAGCTAATGAATGCATCAATAAGTGGCACAACAAATCAACGTTTCTCTCTCAAATTAATAAAAAATGTTTAAAAACTGTTCTAGGGATGACTCCCTCTTCCTTCCCTCCCCAGGATGTGTATGACAAAGTGGACTATCTGAGCTCCCTGGGCAAGACGCAGACGGCGGTGGTACAGAGGGATGCTGACATCGGGGTGGCCGAGGCCGAGCGGGATGCAGGCATCCGGGTATGTGGACTTTCCTTCCCGCCCCCAGGGACCGGGAACTCAGGGGTGGTGGGACCATGGTTTCTCAGAGGACCCTCAGCACCTACCCCTCCTGATCCCAGGAAGCCGAGTGCAAGAGGGAGATGCTGGACATGAAGTTCATGGCAGACACCAAAATCGCCGACTCCAAGCGAGCCTTCGAGCTGCAGAAGTCAGCCTTCAGTGAGGAAGTCAATATCAAGGTGAGGAGCCAGAGGGCACCTGAGTTGGGGCTTAGGACTCAAGACTTGGCAACTAGCCTCTGACATGCTCACCACACTTCTGCCACAGACAGCTGAGGCCCAGCTGGCCTATGAGCTGCAAGGAGCCCATGAGCAGCAGAAGATTCGGCAAGAAGAGATTGAGATTGAGGTTGTGCAGCGTAAGAAGCAGATTGCGGTGGAGGCACAAGAGATCCTGCGCACAGAGAAGGAGCTGATTGCCACCGTGCGCCGCCCCGCGGAGGCAGAGGCGCACCGCATGCAGCAGATAGCCGAGGGCGAAAAGTGAGTGCTGGTGGGCGGCAGGGGCTGGGCGGCACTCAGGCTCCTCTGCCGCGCACGCACTCCCTCCACTCTGCTGACCACAGTTTAGAAGCCAGTGCTCCTCCATCCTGTTTACTCACTGTGACGAACATGGCATTATTGTTAGAACTGAATTAGATAAAAGAGGTTTGAGGGCCTGGAATGGTGCTTGACACAGCATCCTGGTTAATCTCCTCTTCTGTTTGCATCTGGAAGCCCATACCTCTCTCTGGCCAGAGCCAGAATGCCAGGGCACCCCCTTCACGGGTCCCCCACCCTGACACCACCTGCCAGAGCAGAGGGCTTGAGGGTTTGCTGGCCCCCAGACAAGGCTTGAGGGACCCCTGGTACAGCCCACTGATCCTGCCGCACCTGGACTCCCTCAGGGTGAAGCAGGTCCTCTTGGCTGAGGCAGAGGCTGAGAAGATCCGGAAAATCGGTGAGGCGGAGGCAGCAGTCATCGAGGCGATAGGCAAGGCAGAGGCTGAGCGGATGAAGCTCAAGGCTGAGGCCTACCAGAAATACGGGGACTCAGCCAAGATGGCCATGGTGCTGGATGCCCTGCCCCAGGTGAGTCCCAGCAGGGCAAGTGCAGGAATTTCTCTGGGCCTTGTCAGGAACACAGCGACAGGCTGGCTAGAAGGATTAAATGGGGGAGTATTCAGCAGGAGGAGGAACCCTACAACAGGCATCCAGACTATGGCTTTCAAATAAGGGCCACCCAGGCTGTTTGGGGGTTTAGGTGAGATGGGGAGGGGAGAGATGCTGGGCAGGGCGAATGGACGGAGACAGAACCAACCAACCAAGCTCTCCTCCCACCCAACCTCCTAGATCGCTGCCAAAGTCGCAGCCCCATTGACCAAAGTCGATGAGATTGTGGTCCTCACCGGGGACAACAATAAGGTGACATCAGAAGTAAACCGACTGCTGGCCGAGCTGCCTGCCTCCGTGCATGCCCTCACAGGCGTGGACCTATCCAAGGTGTGTACTTGGCTCGCTGTGATGAGGTTGCCTGGGTAGCTATTGGACTGACCCATGTGGAACGGTTGTGGGCCCCAGAGCCATGGCCTCATGGCATTTCCCATCCTTACAGATACCCCTGATCCAGAAGGCCACCGGTGTACAGGTGTGAGGCTCCCGAAGAACCCACACCCTTCAGCAGCTGCCCGCTCCTCCCTCCAGCACCTGTTTCAATACTGCAGGAACAATGGGAATGTTACTGACTCTGGTGCCTTATTTGTAGGGACCAGAAGTGCTGCGTGTTCAGGCCTTCTCTGGCTGTCTTCCCTTCTGTCCGTCTCCTTCCTCTTCTCCTTTACCCCACACCCTCACACTCACTGCCATATTCATCTGGTGTGTCTCTTCCACCCTCATCTTCCTGTACATATGCCTCTTCCTTCATCTGTTTGTCTTTTTCTCTCCCTCTTCCCTCCCACCCATCCTTTACACACATCATGTAATTTAAGCTGAAGATGTTTATTATAATCACTGTCTGTCTGTAAGGGGTGGCCCTGCTGCTCTTCAGAATCCTGGTGCCTTGAAGTTCTCTGTGCGTCCTCCCTGTGGCCTTGTCCAGACCTCAGCATGGGTGCAGGGGGTCTGGGTAGAATGGCCCCCTGCCCCTCTCCTGGCCTGGTTTTCCAGCCCTAAACCCTCCCCTGGGAAACCCCAGCCTCACTCACTCTAGCCCCTCTAGGCCAGGTAGCAGTGGCCTACAGACCCAGGCCATTGCCCTTCACTTCACACCTCCCCAACCCCAGGTCTGCTCTCATACCTTACCTTTCTACCCACCCCAGGGGCACAGAAGCAAGGCCTCCTGTCTATAACAGCTCTCTCAGTTGACTACTGCCTTAGGAGGCCCCTGCTTGTGCTCAGGGAAGTCCCCCTCATGGACATGTCCCTGCTGGAGTGAGGCTTGGTCCCAGCTCTGCTAAGTCTTTCTGGGATCAGGGTCTAGCCCTGTTGGGGACTAGAAAGTCTGTAGACCCTCTTCCTGCTAGGGCTGCTCTGTTCTGGGTATGAGGCCAGGTCCTTCCAGTGGGCAAGGCTGTGCCAACCCTGTACAGAATCGAGTGCTGTAGACTGGCCAGACTTCATACTCCTTGTGCCATTTTTCTTCCTGGCCAGAGTGATAGGGTCCCAGCCATGGGAGCAGCCCAGCCCTCTGTCTCCTTGCTCTAGTGGAGGCAGAGAAGCCCACAGGCCAAGCACCCAGGGGTGCTGTGGATGTCCTGTGGTCCCAGTCCCCCACCCCTGGCACGGGCCCTGCCCCAGCCTGTGTAGCTGTTCCTGCATGTGGATGCTGCATGTTTGGTCTGGGGCTTGGATGCTGCACTGCCCCACTGCCTGTCCCTTCTGGTAAAATAAAGATCTGTTATGCCAATGCCCTATTGTGTGTCTTCTGTGAGGAGAGAGACTGGGAACCAAGCACTAACAGAGAGCCCTCCCATATACACCTTCAGCCTGAAGGCTGTACTTGGTCTGTCTTTCCCGCCCCAGCCACTTGAGGGCATCAGCACACTTGCAGTGTCCCCAATAGTATCCTGAGACAGGGCAGCCATTGGCCTAGCTGCTGAGGCTAGACCTGAGCTCTGGGAGACCCAGCTCCATTTCGGGCAGAAGAATAAGGGGCTCTTAGGTCCTCTGTATCCCTCTGGCCATCCTGAACCCCACTCAGTAATGGAGTCCACGTCTCAGGCTTAAGCATGAACTCTGGAGTTAGGCTGCTTCGGTTTAAATTTTAGCTCAGTTGTTTATGACCTATGTCATCTTGGACAAGTAACTTCATCTTTCTGGGCTTCAATATTTACTCATTTTACAAATTTATCTAACGCTTGCTGTGTTGTCCTAGATGCTGAGGGGACTGCAATGAACAGAACAAATCCATAGCTTTTAGAGCTTGCACTCAAGTAGGGGAAATGAAATAAGAAAAATTAAATACGTATGCAATATGTTACGTGATGATGTGTACTAAGAAAGAAAATAAAATCCTGAAAGAACTAGGAAGTTTGGGAGGGTGTTGAAGGAAGACCTATTTGAAAAAGGTTAAAACTACATGTATTGTGAGACAATTTCTCTATACTGCTTATTTTAAATTCCAAAGGTGACATCTCTGAAAATAAATCATTTTTCAGCTAAAGGGTAAAGGAATAAGCAATGCAGATATGTGAGGGGCAGAGCTTCCCAACCAAAGACCTCCAAGGTGGAGTGTGTCTGTCATGATCAAAGAACAGCAAGGAAGTCAGTGTGTTTGGAAGTGATGAGTGAACGAGCAGCAGGGAGGGTGGCAGTAGATGAGGTCATGATGGAAATGTGGAACCTTACTGTAATGGCATATTTGGGGCAATTACTCTCAGATGGGAAACCACTGAAGCTTTTTGAAAGAGGAGTGATGTGCTCTGACATACTTGAAAAGATCATTCTGCCCTAACCGGTTTGGCTCTGTGGATAGAGCGTCAGCCTGCAGTCCAAAGGATCCTGGGTTCGATTCTAGTCAAGGGCACGTACCTCAGTTGCAGGCTCCTCCCTGGCCTGGGCCCTGGTCAGGGCTCATGCAAGAGGCAATCAATTGATGTGTTTCTCTCACATTGATGTTTCTCTCTGTCTTTCCCTCTCTTCCACTCTCCCTAAAAATCAATGGAAATTATCCTTGGGTGAGGATTAACAAAATAATAATAATAATAAAAAGATCATTCTAAGCACTGTGACAATTCAAGGAAAAAAGACAAATCTTTTTTAAAAAATATATTTTATTGATTTTTTACAGAAAGGGAGAGGGACAGAGAGCCAGAAACATCGATCAGCTGCCTCCTGCACATCTCCCACTGGGGATGTGCCCGCAACCAAGGTACATGCCCTTGACCGGAATCGAACCCGGGACCCCTCAGTCCACAGGCCGACGCTCTATCCACTGAGCCAAACCGGTTAGGGCACAAATCTTTTTAAAAAATGGTGCTAGAACAACTGAGTCTGTATGAGGGGGAAATTTAATCACAACCCCCACCTCACTCCATATACAAAAACTAGTTTGAGATGGATCATAGACCTAAAGTCAAAACTTAAATCACAAAGCTTATAGAATAACAGGAATGTCTTTATGACCTTGGCATAGGCAAGATTTCTTAGGGGGGAAAAAAAGCCCATTAAAGATGAAATTGATAAATTGGGCCATATAATTAAGTCTGTTCATCAAAAGAAACTTAAGCCCAACAGGCGTGGCTCAGTGGCTGAGCTTCGACCTATGAACCAGGGAGTGATGGTTTGATTCAGGTCAGGGCACATGCCCGGGTTGCAGGCTCGATCCCCAGTAGGGGGCGTGCAGGAGGCAGCCAATCAATGATTCTCTCTCATTGATGTTTCTATCTCTTCTTCTATGAAATCAATAAAAATATATTAAAAATAAATAAGTACATAAATACATTTAAAAAATTAAGAAAAAATGCCGAAACCGGTTTGGCTCAGTGGATAGAGCGTCGGCCTGCGGACTGAAGGGTCCCAGGTTCGATTCCGGTCAAGGGCATGTGCCTGGGTTGCGGGCACATCCCCAGTGGGAGATGTGCAGGAGGCAGCTGATCGATGTTTCTCTCTCATCGATGTTTCTGGCTCTCTGTCTCTCTCCCTTCCTCTCTGTAAAAAATCAATAAAATATATTAAAAAAAAAAATTAAGAAAATGAAAGGGAAGTGCAGTCAGAAAAAATATTTACAATGCATATATCTGATAAAGGACTTGCATCCCATAATACCAAAACACCCCAATAAGAACATTGCTCTAAACACCCTCCTGAGAATAGATGAAGAGGGGTAAGCAAGGCAGCAGGGAGACCAGCTGCTTCTCACCAGTATTGCAATAATACAGGTGAGCCCTGACCGGTTTGGCTCAGTGGATAGAGCATCAGCCTGCAGACTCAAGGGTCCCAGGTTTGATTCTGGTCAAGGGCACGTACCTTGGTTGCGGGCACGTCCCCAGTAGGGAGTGTGCAGGAAGCAGCTGATCAATGTTTCTCTCTCATTGATGTTTCTAACTCTCTATCCCTCTCCCTTTCTCTCTGTAAAAAATAAAATATAAAAAAATAATAATACAGGTGAATATGATGGCCACTCTGACCAATGGGGGTAGTGGAGAAGCACTCAGATTCTGTATATATTTTGAACTAAGCAGAATTGCTGACATATTGGATCTGAGAGAAAAAAAATGAAATTAAAAAAATGCCTCCGCCAAAACCGGTTTGGCTCAGTGGATAGAGCGTCGGCCTGCGGACTGAAAGGTCCCAGGTTCGATTCCGGTCAAGGGCATGTACCTGGGTTGCGGGCACATCCCCAGTGGGAGATGTGCAGGAGGCAGCTGATCGATGTTTCTCTCCCATCGATGTTTCTAACTATCTATCTCTCTCCCTTCCTCTCTGTAAAAAATCAATAAAAAATATATTTTTTTAAAAAATGCCTCCAAGATGCCATATTCATGAATTTGAAGACTCCGTATTGCAAAGATATCAACACTCCCCAATTGGTCTATAGGTTCAATACAATCCCATTCAAAATCCCAAGAGAGTTTTAATTGGCAAACTAATTATGGGCAGTTGCTCTTCGAGCCTGCCTGCTCTCTTTCCCTCTCTGAGAGTGTACTTTCGCTTTAATAAATCTTGCCACTGCCACTTGAACTCCTAAAAAAAAACACCTAATTATGAAAGTTATAGGGAAATGCCAAAGGACTAAGAATAAGCAAGACAAACTTGAAAAAGAGCAAAGTTGGAAGATTTAACTATCAGTATCAAGACTTAACTTTTTTTGTTTTAAATATATTTTATTGATTTTTTACAGAGAGGAAGGGAGAGGGATAGAGAGTCAGAAACATCGATGAGAGAGAAACATCAATCAGCTGCCTCCTGCACACCTCCCACTGGGGATGTGCCCGCAACCAAGGTACATGTCCCTGACAGGGATCGAACCTGGGACCCTTCAGTCCGCAGGCCGACGCTCTATCCACTGAGCCAAACCGGTCAGGGCAAGACTTAAAGTTTTAGTCATTAAGTCCTAGCTGGTTTGGCTCAGTGAATAGAGCATCAGCCTGCGGACTGAAGGGTCCTGGGTTCGATTCCGGACAAGGGCACATGCCCGGGTTGCAGGCTTGATCCCCAGTAGGGGGCGTGCAGGAAGCAGCCAATGGGTGATTCTCTCTCATCTTTGATGTTTCTATCTCTCCCTCTCCTTTCCTCTCTGAAATCAATAAAAATATATTTTTAAAAAAGTTTTAGTCAATAAGACAGTGTGATTGATATTGGCACACTCTAGACCAATGGAATAGGATGGAGAGTCCAAAAATACACTTGTTTTAAGACAAAAGTGACAATGTAGAGCTATGTGGAAAGAATAGTCTTTTCAATACTGTATATCTGGGGGGGGGGGGGGGGGGGGGGAGATGGTTCTTGCTCATGAACCTCACATTGTACACAAAATCAATTCCAGATCAATTCTAGATCTAAATGTGAAAAGTAAAATAACAAAACATGTAGAAAATAACAGAATATCTTTATGACCTTAGGGTAAGCAAAGATTTTTTAAACCAATATGAAAATCAGTAACTACAAAAGAGAAGATTGATAAGACATTAATCTCCAGGGAGCTTTGCTAAGCAAAAAAAAGCTAATCCCAAAATGTGGCATACTATATCGTTTCATTTATATAACTTTTTATTTTTAATTGCAGTAAAATATATAGAATAATAGACTAATGATAGGTTCAAGCCCTACACAGAATGGCCAAGGGATGTATGAAGACGTGTTTGGAAGACTGTATTTTGCAAAGATAGTGGCAACAATATCTTCATTCCACCTGTTCCTCTTATAGTGTGACTTTGACTTCCAATTAGAGGCAGAGCCTATGCCCGCTTCCCTTGAAACTGAGTGGATTTTGTGACTATTTCCGTCAGTAAAATATAGTAGACTTGATGCTATGTGACTTCTGAGGCTGGACCATGACAATGTAGCTTCTAACCACTATGTAAGCAGTCTGACTGTTCTGAAGTCACTGTGCTGTGAGGAAGCCCGAGCAGATAGACACACAGATAGGCCCGGAGTTATATGAAGAGACAGAGAGATGCCTGGCCAGCCCCCAGCTCTTCCAGCCCCCATCTGACAGACCTCAAGCCAATTGGGCCCAGCCTACTTCCTGAAATCCTGATCCCCGAAGCAGTGAGAGAGAGTTTACTGGTAAGTTTCCATGTTTGGGGATGATTTATCACATAGCAATGGATGATGGGAATAACATGCATAACTTCATTAGTCATCAGGGAAATGCAAATTAAAACCAGGATAAGATATCACTACACACCCACCATAATGACAGAGTAAAATGGAGAAGAGTAACAATACCAAGTGTAGATGAGGCTGTG